GTAAACTATCTTGAATAGTTTTGATGTTGTGGTAATCCTTTATATATATATATAAAGCATTATTTCTCATTAGTCAATAACATACATGTGTATTCTCAAACACAAGTAAATCAGTACTTCCAGCACTTTCTTCTTTGAGAGCATTTATTCATATATCTCACTTGCTTCCCGGGTATACCTTTGATTATATGTTTCATCACAGATCCAGACAGAGTGAAAGGTGGGTGTATGTTTAATCTTCCACTGTAGTTCAAGTGGCTTTACACCCTGGTTTTACACTAAATATTTGTATTATTGTCGTTTGAGGTTTTCTCGTTGTACAAAATAAGTCTTTCCCCTTTATTTTTTTATGTTTACGTTTTTTAAAATTATAGTTAATCTGCAAAGTTGTATTAGCTTCACATGTACAGTCGAGTGACATATATTCAATTATCTATTTTCAGATTATTTTCCATTATAGCTTGTTATGAGACAGTGAATATAGTTCTCTGTGCTATACAGTAGGTAGTATATATATATTAGAGGCTTCCCAGGTGGCACAGTGGTAAAGAATCCACCTGCCAATGCAGGAGATGCAGGAAACATGAGCTCGATCCCTGGGTTGGGAAGATCCCCCAGAGTAGAAAATAGCAACCCACTCCAGTATTCTTGCCATGAAAAATTCCATGGACAGAGTAGCCTGGCAGGCTACAGTCCACAAGGTCCCAAAAAGTCAGCCATGACTGAGCGACTAAGCACACTCATACATGTATATGTTTATCTCAAGCTCCTAATTTGTTCCCTCCCTCATCCTCTCTGGTAGCCATAAGTTTATTTTCTATGACTGTGAGTCTGTTTCTGTTTTGTAAATAAGTTCATTTATATAATTTTTTTAGACTCCACACATATGAATGATATCATATCACTTAGTATGATAATCTCTGGGTCCATCCATGTTGATGCAGATGGCAGTATTCTTCTTTATGGTTGAGTAATATTCCATTGCATATGTGTACCACATCTTCTTTAGCCATTCCTCTGTTGATGGATACTTAAATTGCTAAATCTTGCTCTTCAAAAGAACTGATTGATGACAATAAGAGAAACCACAGTCTGAGGTGCTTCAAAAGAAGAAAACCACATATTTAACCAGGTAAAGAAGATATCTGTTTCTCTAGCTTTTACAACAAAGCACCCACATATGTATTTAGGGCTCTCATTTTTCAGGTCAGCATGTTTTCATGGAGAAGTGTTTAAATATAGTGGAGAGAGAGGCAGTTAACTTCTGCCTCTGTCAGAAGTGTCAGGTACCAGGTACCCTCGTAGGCCTAGAGGACGACACAGTGAACAAGATATACAAGTTCTGCTCTCAAAGTGCGTATTCTAGTAAAGTAAGACAGACAATGAAGATGTAAGCAAATGATGAAGATTTCAAGAACAAGGAAGTATGATGGTTAGCAGAGAATTTGAATACAGGAGGAAGGTGGAATGGAAAGAACTTGGTACTGGACTAGGTAAGGGAGGGGATGGTATGGTGGACAACTCCCAGGTCTCTGACTTGAGCACATGGATAGAAGGGGTGCTGTTAATTTAGATAGTAAAGAGTGCAGGAGTAGCAATCTGGGGACAGGAAGGAATCAAAGATTCAGTTTTGGACATGGTACATTTGAGATGCCTGCAAAATAGCCAAGGAAAAGAAAAACCTTGAGTGTGTTTGCAAAATGAGTCTGGAAAGGAGGTCAGGGCCGAGTGGTAACGGTGGGAGTCATTGGCCTGTGGGTGATATCTGAAGCCATGGAAGTGGATGAGATCACTCGGACGAGGATTGTGAAGGAGAAAAACGTGGTCCAGGACTTAGCTGTGAGATACACCAGACATTCCATCGATCTAGTGGAGGATGTAGCACTGACAGACACGCCTGAGCAGGAATGGCTAAAGGCAGTTAATTTGCAATAAAAAAAAAAAAAAAAGCAATCATATTTCATGATCACAGACCAACAATCCTGGCCAGCAACTCTCAGCCACAACTCCCAGCTGGCTCTGAAAAGGCCTTCACTAATGGAAAGAAATGTACTGCATGCATGTCTTCCCCACGGAGCAGGGAGCAGCAGCTTCATCCTCATTTTCGACGATGACTGTACTGGATATAATCCAGAGGATAAAATGCAAGTGTGAAGCTGCTGCTGTATTTCTGGAGCAGGGTTTGAAGTTCCTCTGAAACGAATGTGAAAGCCTCAGAGATCAATTTCTCTGTCCTGGTTCAGGTTTGGTTCTCAGTAAATGAGGAACGATCTTGCCTCATGGGCAACAGCCTTTCTTTTGCAAGAAGTTAAATGTGCTACACCAGAGAGTTATTATTGTCTTTTTTTTGAAATTAAATGGGACATTTAGATTTAATTTTTAAAAGTAGCCTATAAGAGGTAGAAACTTGCAAGTCCAGCCTTGGAAAGAGGAGCACAGAGGAGTCTTTAGAACTCTCTGTCTGGTTTCAGTTATTTCATAATGTACTGTGTTGCCATTTCATAGGCATTGCAGTAAATTCCTGATGGGATGTTTGTAGACTGTGCCACATTCTAATCAATTAAAAACAGAATAACCTTTCAAATTTATATAAAACAAATTGCTGAAATCCTAATTAGTTGCTGTGTACCTGAAAATTTGGGAGTATCCCTTCTTATTTAGTGTATGAGCTTCCCTGGTAACTCAGACAGTAAAGAATCTGCCTGCAATGCAGGAGACCCAGATTTGATTCCTGGGTCAGGAAGATCCCCTGGAGAAGGGAATGGCAATCTATTCCAGTATTCTTGCAAATAGAATCCCATGGACAGAGGAGCCTGGCAGGCCTCAGTCATGGGGTCACAAAGAGAAACAGAATAACCTTTCAACTTTATATAAAATAAATTCCTGAAATCCTAGTGTGTCTGAAAATTTGGGGGTATCCCTTCCTATATAAATCAGGTTTATTATTTGTAGAGATCTGTGTCTTAAGTTCAGTCATGGGAGATAGTCCCTAGTCTTATTAATTTGATAATACTAACTACATGAATGAACTACATTCATTTTGACATAAATTCTTTAGTGTGAGGCCATGCACTCTTGCAAAGCATTGAAAAGTAGAAATAAGTAATGAACTATTACTTAAATGATCAAAGTATTAAAAAGCCTGAAAATTTTCAACAGGTTGGCTATTTCTCGTGCTTTTTAACTTTCCATTTCTTTCTCAAAATCTATTTCAGTTCTTCTTCTGCAGTTTCAGTTCATGTTTCACAGGTTTAACTGTCAACGTTTGTGAGAGGACCATGTCTAGTTCAATCAAGATGTTCTTTCAGGGTGTATGGCCATTTAAAGTTCTGAATGACATCCTGGTAATTAGGTAATTCACAGCTATTTGTACTGTATACCATGAGCTACTTTGGCCCTGATTTCAAATCTGACATGGCAGTTCCACATCGAGGAGGTTACTTTCTTATAGCCCTTCCCAGCCTGGATTTGGGAGCGGCTACCTTTTTGTTTTCTAATGTTGCTAACATGTTCAAGCTAGAAATAATTTCCTAATTATTTCTAATAATATCACTGATGCCCTGACTCATTCCTGCATATCTGTATTTTTAAGCTTTTCATCTTTCATTACTGAGTGATTGCTTTCCAACACTCAGGCACCTAGGAGAAGAGGGAGGAAGCGCGGTTTAGCAGAACAGCATGCACCAAGTGGGGGAGAATCTTGGAGAGGAGAAAAACTAAACTTGGTTTGGGTAATAAACATTTATTGAGCATATTCACTGACTGGCTGTAAATAGAGAACATCACAGTGTCTTATTAATACTTAATACATGCAACTCTAATTGTATCTTTAATCTCTGTCCAGTTAAGTTATGATAATTCCAGAAGTGAACTCTAAGGATCTGCCTTTTCAAAGTGTGTTCTTCATGTGGCACATTTCATTAGCTCATACAGAAGGGTTATTTTCTCAAATCATATAAAAATTTAAAGGGCACAGTGGCCATTCATTAGATATAGCAAGTGACAGTGAGTTCTCCAAAGAATATTTCTTTCCAACACTCCGCTCTGGAGAGTTGACACTCAGTGTGGTTAGGATGATCAAACTGGTAGGTGCTGACCAGTGGCTCAGGAAATTTGACTTTTTGCAAATTTTGGGCTACAGAGCAAGGTTTTCCTTTTGATTAGCTTCCAAATCGAATTTGTCAATTTACTCAGTATCATGGCTCTGTCACTTTTTTCCTTTTACATTTAAATGTATTTCTTTAAATTGTTCTCAATTACTGTTGCTCAGAGAACAATTATGGAGTTGACTTTATATTCCTTATGTGATTCTTATAAAATTTAAACTAGGGAAAAATTGCATAAAAACTTACTCCTTGTGAGACATACTGTCTTTATAATCAGAGCCCTTTAACTTCTTTTTTTTTTTTTAATTTTAGCTTATTAAAAATTTTATTGGAGTATAGTTGATTGAAAGCATTGTATTAGTTTCTGGTGTATAGCAAAGTGATTCAGTTATACACATACACATATATTAATTCTTTTTCAGATGTTTTTCCTGTATGGATTATTACAGAATATTGAGTAGGGGTCCCCATGCTAGGGTATTTGGTGTGTAAGTCCTGAATTATCTACTTTATATATAGCAATGTGTGTATGATAATCCGAAGTTGCTTACTTATCCTTCTCCCACCCCCCTCTCCCCAGAGCCCTTTAACTTCTAAACGAAGTATTGGCTTATAAAGCAGAAGGTACGAATAAAACACTTGAATTGCCAAGAAAAACCTTCAAGATTAGGCATAGCCACCCATTAATTTCACCAGTGAGAACCTAATTCTGCCCCCCAAATGTAGGAAAATTATTTTGGTTCCTTTCTGAACCAAAAGCTAACGTTAGTAGGGGGGAGGCAGACCATAGAGTGTGAACATCAGAAGGAAAATACTCTTCCAGGTGAGATTTTTAATTTGCTCCTCTCGCTGATCTTTACTGATTTTTTATCTCCCCCCCCCCTTTGTTTTCAGTGGCTACAGATGTCTTTAATTCCAAAAACCTGGCCGTTCAGGCACAAAAGAAGATCTTGGGCAAAATGGCGTCCAAGTCTATCGCAACCACCCTCATCGACGACACAAGCAGTGAAGTGCTGGATGAGCTGTACAGGGTGACCAAGGAGTACACCCAGAACAAGAAGGAGGCAGAGAAGATCATCAAAAACCTCATCAAAACCGTCATCAAGCTGGCCATCCTTTACAGGAATAACCAGTTCAACCAAGACGAGCTGGCGCTGATGGAGAAGTTTAAGAAGAAAGTTCATCAGCTTGCTATGACGGTGGTCAGCTTCCACCAGGTGGACTTCACCTTTGACCGGAACGTGCTGTCCAAGCTGTTGAACGAGTGCAGAGAGATGCTGCACCAGATCATCCAGCGCCACCTCACCGCCAAGTCACACGGACGGGTTAACAACGTCTTTGATCACTTCTCAGATTGTGATTTCTTGGCGGCCTTGTATAATCCCTTTGGAAATTTCAAACCCCACTTACAGAAACTGTGTGATGGTATCAACAAAATGTTGGATGAAGAGAACATATGAGCATGTGAGTTGAGATTGTGACTGCTCATGATTTATTTGAAGATGGAGCTCTGCTGATTTATGAAGGAAAAAACAAGAAGAATGTTTTAAAAGATTACACATATTTCAGAAAGACTATGCCCAATTCAGTTGTCAGACATTCATGGTAATGTTTTATGAGGCTTGTTTTATTTGAAGAAAAATGTATTGGCAAATATTCTGGTTAAAAACTTCTCAACAGTTAACAGATCATGGGAAAGATGTATGGTTGCATGATGCAAATACAGAGTTATATAAAGAAAGATACGTGTGGCTCCAAACCTCAAAGACATCTTTTTTTTAGGGCAGTTGTGTTGGTGGCACATTGGATATTTCTAACGTGTACAGAGTTGTGTATTTTGGTTCACCTTTATTCCTTACTATATATGTGTACCTCTTTTAAAAAGCCAAGAACCCCCTCTTACTGTCATTTCTCCTTTTGAAGCAATTCCATTTTCAAGTTTACCTTTTGTTAAAGATTCTTTTGTTAAAGACTTTCTCATTGACATTCAAAAGTTCCATCTTAATTAAGACATTCCGGTTTTAAGACAGTCGAACCCTCAGAAAAATAGAAAACTGCTTCTCTGAAATCAGTATTCTAGAAATCAGTTGTATTTGACATTATGAATAATTTAGTCAAACATAAGACTATGCTTCTGGAATCAAGTCCTGTTTCTTAGTAGCAACAGTAATACTTCCTCAAACATGAAAATTCCCCCAAATGACATGCCATTTGCCTTGAAATGCTTGCTGAGGGCTTAACTTGTATGTCATCTTGAAAATGTGCTGATGGAATCTCCATTTTTCATGTCTGTTTTAAATGTAAGAAACAAAGAGAAAATCTAGATCATTCCTAATATTGGGACTATAAAAAGTAAATGCTTTTAAGAATGATAAAACAATCTATACTTTAGTGGTGAGCCCATCAGAATAATTTAATTTAGGAGGAGGAGAGGCAAAAGGGAAGAACGAATCTTGCTACAAGAACATGAGAATGAATGCATTTCAATGTTTAGTAAGGTTTGATAGGTAAATAAAGTGTTACTTTTTTATTTAACTGATAAGATTTTGCTGTTTTGTTATTTGCTGTTTTGATGAGTAAACCAAAGAATATTTGCATTCCAAGCTGTTTGTCTGTTGTTTATATATAATTTTATATGTATGAATGATAAATAAGCATTTGCTTATTTTGTGAAAAAGAAATAGAAACCTGCTGGCTAACTCTATCTCCTAGGAAATAACAGATGTGGTCACCAGCACTAAATATTTGCATTGTCACTATGTCTGTGATTTAGTGTACTCCTTTGCCTTGAATTTGCCTTCCTCCCAGAATATTTATGTTAAAATAATAGCTTACCAGCAAAGGTCCTACAACTAAAATTTACTACAGGCTAAAGGAGATGGTAGCTTTCTCTGGGACCCTCACGTGCTTGTCTGAGTCAAACAGCAGAGGAAAAGCATCTCTCCCTATTTGATATTAAATCCTGACACCAAAATTTGAACTGAAATTACCATCCTCCCTTCCCTGGGCCAGTAGGTGACCACTGTAAGTTACAGCAATAGCATAGTGATTGCAGAATTGGTCCCTCTAGCTTCAGAGACTGCTAAGTAGCTTATAAATTTAGTTTAGCAGCCTTTCTTGACCAACTCTGGGAAAACCAAGAGTGTGTTATGTGGAAGCTACTGACCTAGCGCATTCTGTGTTCTACAGGATTCCCTCAGCAGAGGAAGTGTGGAAAATGGAGTACCCAGGCAGTTGGCTGATGCCCCTTGCTCATCTCTAGCTATAAACAGGACCAACCAGAGAGAGGGAACACCTAGGAATAAATTTAGATGAGTCTGGACACCTTGGGATCATAAACTTGTACCTTCAGGATGGCAGTCAGATGCGCACGGGGCAGGGGAAGAGCAGCCCTGAATTTCACACAGAAGGAAGGCAGTGAGGAGTATCTTGAAGCAGGGGAACCTGTTTGCTCCCCTGTTTCAGCATCATCTTCTCCTTCATCCTGTGCCTGGAAGGCATGACTTAGAAGGATCAGTTGTCAGTTTTCATCAGCAAGTTCATTTCTGATGCAACAGCACTCCCTTTGTGCATGAGTTTATTTGAGGTGGAAAGCTGGAAAGAATGCGGATATGCTTAGGATAGATAATTCTGAGCCAAGTTCATAATCATTTTAGGGTCTTATGAAAAACTGAATCTTTTTTATTACATTTTGGAAAAAAATCATGAATTGTATTATAATTGATTTTTTTAAAATTTCTCTGCAGACTTTATGAGCTGATTTATTAGGTGAGTGATAATGCTACTGTTAACAACTGATATTACAGAGTAGATATTACGTGCCAGGCATAGTAACTCATTCAATGCCCACCACAACCTTCACTGTTCTACAGATGAGGAAACTAAGGCAAGAGACACTAAGGAATTTGCCTGAGGTCACATAGCTCTGGTGTCAAAACCAGTTTATATTAATAAAACCTTATTTTCATTTAATGATGATATAGGGGAAAAAAACAGCCCTAGAAACATCATTAGTCCAGAGAGGAGTGGGCAGTGTCCTTCTGAAATAGATTTTCACATAGTGGCGTTTTAGAAGGTATTTAAATCATACAGATCTGACCCATTCTGGGTATGGTTTTATGCAAAGGAGTCTTATGAAGTTTTCAACATGGCTCCTAATTTGGGGGCATTTCATGGTTCAAATTTTTAGTCCCTTTCCGAAACTTAAAGGTGCTTCCAATTAACAATAACTTTGAACATTGACCCCTGAAGTATGGTATGCCTCTCCCCGCCGGTGGTCTTTCTGTGGATACACATGGCACTCTATGTGCACGCAACTAAGGCAAGCAGAAGTTCACCGCTATATTCCCCAGAAAAGGTATGGCATTGATTTAAAACTTCAACATTATTTTCCAGGTTGAGAGACTGGAAACATCAGAGCAAGTAAGCCTAAAAATAGCCTTGTGTTTTTCTGGTTACTATATCTTTCATATAGAACTCAAAATTAGTGAAAAAGAAGACCAAATGTTAGGAACTTTAATGGCACAGAAATAATGCTTCTTTTTTTGTCTTATAAACCAGTTCTTGTTTAGATTTTTTTCTCCCACCACGTTACTGCTTAAAAAAACAGAAAATTTAAACTTTCTGGTGGATTCCTCCCCATTAAAGGACTAAAATTGCATTTTTTGTACTCTGTACATATCAATTGGATTCTTACTGAGCATTTTAATTTATCCTTGAGGTACCTGATGAGAGTACCTAAGTTATAATTTAGCATACAGATAAAAAATGTAAGATGAATGTGCCCATCCATATGATGAAATAAATAGTTGTAGTAAAATGTTAAGAACTATTTAACTGCTAGGAAATTAAAATATCCTAAATTAGCATGTTAATAGTATTTATACTATTTTTACATTTTTATCCAATCTTGCATTTCCAAACTGGCATTATCTAAGTTAGTTAAACTTCACAGTGTTCAAAAAAATCTCTGTTTTACTTGATCTATTGCATCTGTGGGCATAAGCCTCTATATTAATTTGTTCGGCTCAAAGCAGGTTTTAGTACTCAGTGTTGTTTATGACATACAATTTTATTCTAGCTCTGATAATTTTCCTTGCTGTGATTCAGTTTTAGAAACTTTATAGAAACCCCCTAATGAATCACTGAGTCACTAACCAGAAAAATGAGTTAACTTTTTTCTTCCAAAACAGGACAGTAGGAAGATATTTAGGAGCTTATAATCACATATCACCATCGTGGCAAACTATTGGAAATCCATTTTCTCTTTCACTGAGGTGTCCTGCTGGTTATTGCATGTGCCCAGAGCCATAAAGACAGGTTTATCTCTGGGAGTTTCCCAAAATGGGAACATTTTTGTATAATATTGATTCATGTCTGTCTAGCCAAAGATGTATTTTCCATCTAGCAAGAAACATCAGCCCCAAGTTATAGGGGTACAAGCTACTCCAAAGACATCCTGTCTGCTGAGCCCTGAAAAAGGATACAGACAAGTCAGCCAGCGTTCACAGTTAAGAGAAAAACATCTGTGCCTCGGAAAATATTCTTAAGTACAGCGCATTGTGCTCTGTGCCCACCAAATTTCCATGCAGTCTTTGTAAGGGTAGCCAGCCAGTGGGTAAGGTCCCTCATCTTCCTTCATGGGTGGCTGAGGAAATTCTTTGCCTTCCCCACCAACAACTGCATAACTGTATTTTTGCCTTGTGGAAATAATTGGCTGATCAGGCACTTGGGGTTTGTTCTTAACACAGGGAAAGAATATTTGATTTTTAAAAGTATGAGTTTTGATTTGCAGAGTGATCCAAAACAATATACTTCTTTGTACTTTGGTTTTTCCATTTAAAAGCTTACAGATGCATGAAGTCGTTTGAAACTGCCTGATGTGAAGTATAAACACAAGACAGAGAAGTGAAGACTCTGAGTTTACCTACCTAAATGGTCACCATTATCTGGGATGATTGACATTTTATAAGAAGCTCAGGTTTCATTTTCCTGGAAGTGGGCTTTTATCAGCCAGCTCTCACCCGTCCTAAGTGACTTGTTAGCTCTCTTCTAAGACCGCTTGTTTTCACTAAAGGGTAAATACTTGCCAAGCAAATTTGCAAATATTTATAAGACATCTAATGTCCTAGAAGAAGACTTGCTGATGATTAGATAAAAGGGCCAGCATTATTGCTGTTCCCCAGTCATATGGACTTTGTGCTTTCATGACTGAAGAGGCACATTTTTAACTTGCTGAAATTGTCACTGAACAACGTGCAGTGAAATTCGTGAGTAGAAACGTGCCATAGTATTTTCAGACATTATGTGTCTGAGCTTGGCATCTTTTCCTCCTGGGGACTCATTGTAGGGTGGCCAAGGGAGCCCAGCAATGTCCAGAGGGCATGTCTGGAGCAGTTGAAACCAGTGTTACCAGCTCCTTGTCTGCCAGGGAGCTCTCTTTCCTTATCTTTAAATTTTGGATGAAATAACTACCTCATAGTTTCATTTTAAGGATAAAATTAAACAAAACAAGAAGAGCTTTGAAACCTCCTATAGACTATTCCTGTGTGAGGTATTGTTTACCTAAGCTATGAAAATAAGTCTGGAACCTAAAACAAAATATACAACAGACTTCTGCAGCCTGAGAGAATTTTATTAAATCCAAGTCCTCTTTAAAAAATGTTTCTTGCTTTCAATTTAGGAAAATTGTTTTGAGTTGAATTATTAAAGTAATCGTTTGTGACACTTACATGTGATCTCTTAGCCAATTAAATTCTGAATATCTTCAATTATTTTATCATTCTGCTGGTTTTAGTTACCAGGTGCTACCTAACAAGCGACTGCAAAATGTAGTGTTTTAAAACAACAATTTTGTTACGGCTCATGATTCTTTGGGTTAACTGGGCAGTTGTCTTTGATGGGATCTTACATGGTTGCAGTCAGCTGGTTGCTGAGACTGATGTCTTGAGAGATTTGACTGCTGCTGGAGTGGCTGAGCCTCTTCTCTTCCTGAGGTCTCTAGTTACTATTACTCAGGACATTCCCTAACTGCAGGAGCAGAGGTTTCTAGGCCTTCTTAAGGTGTATACCCAGAATAGGCACAGTGTCACTTCAGCTTCATTCTGCTGGTTGAAGCAAGTTACAGGCTACGTGTAGGGTCCTCAAGACTGCCGTCAGGACTGCAGCTTCTCTAGAAGAAAAGAACTCAGAAATGCTGTCACACTCACAGTGAAGACTTACTCCAGTGAAAGAGCACAGATTAAAATCAGCAAATGAAACAGGAGCATAGAGCAGAGTCCAGGAGAAACCAAGTGCAAACTTCCAGCTGTGCTTTGCCAGTGGAGTTTTACAGATAACACGTAATTGTCTCAGCACTGATGTGTGATAACACATACAAAGTGTGGCCAGCCAGGGAGCTCACCTGAGCCTTGTCCAAGGTTTCTATTAAGGGTCAGTCTCATAAACGTGGAATGCCCACATGACGGACCAGAGTTACTCGGTCTCCCTATCCTCCAGAGGTCAAACTGATACACATGGGTTCAGAGTCCCAGATGAACAAAAACAGGTGTTTACCATCAATCACATAGTTAACATGAACTATGGTTATGACTTAAGGCACTGG